ATTACTGGTAATTTGAATGCAAAGGTTGGGAGCAAAGAGGAAGGATCAGTAATTGGGAAATATGGCCTTGGTGATAGAAATGATGCTGGAGACCGCATGATAGAATTCTGCAAAATCAATGATCTGTTCATTTCAAATACCTTCTTTAGACTGCATAAAAGATGACTATCCACATGAATCTTGCAAGGGGGAATACATAGAAATCAAATTGACTACATCTGCAGAAAGAGACTAAGAAAAGCTCCATATCATCAGTGAAAATAAGGCCAACGTAGAGATGCTAAAGCAAATGGAAGAATGGAGAAGGTCCAAGAGCTGAACAGAAAATTTCAAAGATCAGCTTGAGAAGATAAAGCCAAATATTACAATGTGCAAAGATCTGGAATCAGAAAACCAAAAAGGAAGAACACGCTCAGCATTTCTCAAGCTGGGGGAACTGAAGAAAAAAATTCAATCTTCAACTTTCGTTATTGAAAGATTCTCTGGACAAATTATCGAATGATGCAGAAAGCATCAAGAGAAGATGGAATGAATACACAGAGTCACTGTACCAAAAGGAAATGGTTAATGTTCAACCGTTTCAAGAGGTAGCATATGATCAAGATCCAATGATACTGAAGGAGGAAATCCAAGGTGCAATGAAGGAATTGACAAAACAAGACACCAGGAATTGATGGGAAAAAAATTGAAATCTTTCAAGAAAGTGAGGCTGTCACTCATCTCTGCCAAGAAATTTGGAAGACAACTGTCTGGCTGACTGTAAGAGATTCATATTTTACTTTATTCAAAAAATGTTTTAATTCAAATTTTATTTATTTATTTTTATAATATTCCTCTAGTCACATTCTGATTATCAAGCCATCAAGGCTAGGTCAAATTGGGTACTGTCTGCAAGTTAGGTGTTCTTGTGCATCTCCCCTCACTTCATATCAGCTGGATGCTTCACTCTCAGCTCTAGACCTCTGTGGCTATGTCCTTGTCCATGGGCTCACATGTCCCAGGTCTAACCACACTTTGCATCAACCAGCCCTTTCTCTTCTTTCTCATCTCCAGGTCAATGGACTGTGGTTGAACTCAGCCCATTTCTTCATTGCTGCATTCCCCCTCTTCCACTCACCAGTAGACCAATGTGGTCACCAGCAAGCTTACATGCCTGTTCATGTGTTCCCTTTGAGTTTCAATCTTAGAGGGGAGTTTGTCCTGAAGGAACTTGATTGCTTGCCTTGATGGCATCCCAGAGAACAGCTTGCTTATTCTTGTAGTAGACAGTCATGCTGACATTTTGTTTTGGGGTTTTCCTGATCATCTTTCTTTGAAGATGTATGGTGGGTGGTGAGTTTGAACCTCTGACCTTGCAGTTGAAATGAACTTGCAGTCCTGTGCTTATTCTACAATGCCACACCAAAACTCCTTGTTGTTGTGCTCCATCGAGGTTGTTCCCACTCATAATGTTACAGCAGTTTTAGATTCGAGAATGTCACTGCAGCTCTTGATCCATCATCAAAGAAACTGAGGCCACTTGTGAAGAGGTGAGGCAGAGTTTCAGATTTTATTAAACCGGCTGGTTCAGAGGAGCTAATTTCTCCAGATTTTGAGCCCCAAATATAGGGCAGTGTAGACTTATATGGGATCAAAATAGGGGAGGGGTTAGGTTGTAAACCTGTTTGAAGACAGGAAGGAACCAGAGGATTGGTTCCATTCAGTAACCTGGTTAACATTTTAGCTTGTCTCCTGGGCAAAGAGGGCAGTGAATGTTTTTACCTTTTCCTGTTCATTTCCCCCCTTTGATGTCCTTTAGGATCTTTTTCCCAGGGGCATCATCTAAATGTTGCATAAGGAATGGTATTTTGGTGTTGATTTGGATTGTTGGTATCCCTTTTGATTGATTATTGTTTTAATGGCAGTTCCTATGGCCCTGATTGCTAGCGGGAGGAGGCATGGACTGATTAAGTAAATTTCAAATAAAACAGGACCCTACCTACAAGGGTCTTGAACCCTTTAAAGATGAGGAACTACCCTCCCCATAGGCTCTGTGGGTTCCACCCATTCAAGGTTTGCACAGGATCATTGGCAACTTTCTGCATTTTTACAAGGTCTTCTACTGCCAGATTCTGGTCATCTATTTGTATGCAGCAGTTAGCAAAATTAAACTTCTGACACACCACTCCTCCTTCCACAGCCAATAAGTAGTTTAGTGCTAATCTGTTTTGACAGACGGCATTTCATATCTGGGTTTGTTGGAGCCAAGAAGGGTTAGGTCCACCCCGTTCCATTGGTTATAGATTCAGTTACCTAGGAGGGTGCCCTCACTTTTAGTCCTGGTGTGGCACTGTGGGCTAATGCATCAGACTGCAAAGTCATTTGAACTGCAAAGTCAGTGGTTCAAGCTCACCAGCAGCTCCTAAGAAACCCTATACAGGGTCGCTATGGGTCAGAATCGACGACAACAACATAGAAAAGTATTGTGGTTACTGTTTGGCCTACCTTGGTGGTGTGGGTGTATATATTACATAGATTTCTCCCTTTCTCACACCCCAAAGTCTAATTAAAATAAGCCCCACGGCAGACATCCTCATGCTTGGGCCGTGCATAGATCAGCCAGCTCCCAGTTTGTGGCTGAAGCAGGGTGGGTTGTACATCTCAGTGTTACCTAGTAAGCGTTGGTAGGGTCAGTTTCAGCTTCTCACAGACACGAGGCTTTCTTTGATCTGCTGTGGTGAATCCAGGTGGGGACTCCTTCTACCTTGGCTGCTGGGCTTGGGATCATTTCTTGTCCTAGTCCTCAGTAATCTTTGCAGATGCTTCTGGATGCCCTTCCAAAAGGAAAAAAACAAATCAGATACATTTATTACACTCTGAGCTAAATAGACCCAA